CTTAAGTACTAAACAGCGTAAGACCTCAAGCTATGTATGTTTGATCTGTAAGTCTCAAGATATGAATGGATAGAAAGTGTGCTTAATATTTATACCACACATAAGCACATTCTTATAATCAGACCTGCTTTAAAAGAAAAACTCACCGTCCCTAAAGTCAGCAAACTTTTATTTATGTATGATCCTTCCTTGCGTCGTACACCACTGGTTTCAACCTTTGAACTCTCGGAACCTGCCAGATCAACGAGGTTCTGCAGATATAAAAGAAATAACGGGTAGTTAATATCAGTTGAATTCGCGCCAGTGTTAAAGAAGGGTTGATCATAAGTATACATTATATCATTGGTTACAAGATGAGCTTACCAGCTGCGAGAGGTGTACAGCTTCACCTTTAGTCTTGTCGCCTAAGGGACTACTCTCTATCGTCTGCATTTAAATGAGCTAATCATCTTGAGCGATACGAGTTAATATGAAAAGAAAGCAGTACCATAACCATTAGAAGTCTAGAACACTTGACACGACTAGGCAACTAAAAATTATAATAAAGAAGAACCGAAATTCTTTGAACAGAATAAAACATGTGAAAAGAAGACTATGATACACAGCTAGTGTTGAATCAAACAGAAAAGTTAGATTTTTCAGTATTCCATTTCCAAGTACTAAGGTGATTATAGGACAAAAAAACTACCAATTTTTACCATTTAACCAATAATAGTAATAAATAATAAAATCGGGTTTTATGTGCATCCATCCATATCACAAGTGTAGTCATGTGAGAAGAAAGAAATGATATAACTGCACAAAGATACCAGTTTTTCCAATATGTCAAAGAGAATATTAACATACCAACGTAAATATTGTATGGCTCCTGCTGCTGAGTAAATTAAAATTTGTGGATCCAACATGGCGTTGCTCTGTCATGAAGACAAAATTTCAATCAATATGAATTGAATTATATGGAAATTTACTAAATCATGACAACGTTTAAAGACTCTTTAGAACTCTCTATCATATTATAAAAGCCAAAACACATTTTTCAACGTTCTGTATAGCCTCAAGTGGGTAGAGGAGAACCACTTTTCTGATGACAAAATCTTCAATAAATATACAATGACTGCAACAGTCTTTGGTGGAGTTATGAGGTTGTATAGTAAACCGACTTCTTCAACTTAAGGGAAGGGTGGAAGTACCACATACCTTCTCCAGCTGCTATAAGAGAAAGCGCATGAGCAGGAGATAAAACCACTTCTTCTTTAATCCCTTCGACAAAGGTTCCCTATAATCAAAGATGGGTTCAATTGAAAAACTTGGAGGAAAAGACACTCGTAGCAATAGAAGTCATGAGAAGCTCATTGTTAAATTCTCAGTTCAAATTATAATTAAGAGGATCAACTTCGAGTGTGCTTGAAAGCAATGTGACCTACAACATTGCAATGAAACAAAGGGACAAATCTTAAAATTATAATAGCAGCGCCCTCATATAGATCAAAATTCACAAGAAAATGGAACCAGAATTTTCCAGTTAACAATCAGCCTAAACATGGGTTCTTAATATAAGAATATAATGTGAACATTTTGTGATTCTGTGATGAGCAATGTAATCACTACAAAGATCTTACAAGTCAGTGAGAGCAGCAGTACGCATGTAATCAAAAAGATGATCTGAAGCTGAATCACGTACCTGTTTGTCTTCTCTGATCCTCAAATTTTGTCCTGCTGGATTCAATAAATCATTGACAACCTGAAAGAAAGTGGACCTTAAGGATATTAATCTCAAAGGAAAATGAAAAGCAGAGTGTTTCTATCACTCTCAAATACTGTTGAAATTGAGTATAGAAAATAGGTAATTAACAGCACCTCATTATAAATTTCCAAGTAGGAAATACGCAGGAGAAATTCTCGATTTGGTGTCTGTAACAAAATAAATATGTGAGGTTGCTAGTACTTAAGCCATGGAATCTGACGAGCCAATATCTTAAAAAGTACCTCTTGAATAATGCTGAAAGCATCTTTCACTGCTAACGGTATAATTCCAGGAGATCTCTGGTCACCCTGGTGTAAATACATACCAAACTCACATTCTTTATTTGGGAATCCAACTTTAAAAAACCAAGAAATATCCAGATGAAGGGATCTTACATGCATAGTATGAGTCTTTCCACTGCTTGTCACTCCATATGCAAAAATGGTCCCTGTAGTTGGTTTAACATTCAGTGTCACTATATTCAAATCAACTGGTAAGAACATTGAAGTCAAAAAAATTCTGAAGATTGTAACATTCACTAGGTACAGTCAGCCCCGTTGATATAACATAAATGATCACTAGCATTAAGCCTCTCAACATAGGGTTCGGAAAAAAGTATGCTCTTCGATAAAGGAGTTGATATCAGGGATTGAGTTCTAAATGCAAAATAGACTGGCCACTAAAACTGGTCACTTCATACCGTTAATCCCCTCCATAGCCCCATTAACAACATGGTGTGCGGCAACATCATAGACATTGCGTGTTGTGGTTGTAGGTCCAAAGACACGATCTGCCAGAAAGAGAAGCAATCATAAACAGAAAGAAAGACTACTTCAATAAAACAACATGGAAGATCAAACACCAAAGAGGAAGATTATCCAATTAAATCACAGTCCTCATATTTTAAGATATGATTAGAAGGGGAAAAGTACACCACATTAGAACAATGCTATATCCTTTTTTTTATTATTCTTATTCGTGAGCGATGTTCCCACATACAATACTTATGATGGTTATGGAAGCACCATGACACTAATCAAACTGTTAAAAGTCACTAACCATAGGCATAAGCTATTGTCGGGTTATGCTCATTTCGTACGATTGTTTCCCCATCTGCATACCATGCAACCTCCTCCCCTTGGCGAATTTCCCTTGGACTAGCGTCAAGGAAAAGATATGTCAACTCACAGAACAAACATCGACCTAATATTTGCAGGCCTATACAAGCATCATATCACAGGGAACCTGAGTGGGCGAAAGCGAACTGTCACAGTGACGTTTTCTTTAGAACGCTGAGCGCTTTGTGGTAAGGAATCTGGTGAGAAGAAGTGCAGCTTGCTTTGTGCAGATGAAGAAGCAGGGGAGCTATGGCCATCAATAGATGTCTCTTGGTAAAGCTTTGAAGACGAGGTTGTTGAGGATGCAGTAGAATCAGCACCCTTCAAATGACCGGACCCTACTTTCCTCGACTTTGATCCTTGTCTAGATGCCATCAGAAGTCGAAGTCAAACCTCCAGAACACTGAATGAAGACACGAGTACAATATCAATCAATAAACACACACACACAAACAAAAAACAGAGATACCTCCTCCACAATCTGGAAGAGTGTTGTACTGTTTCAAATCTTACTGAACTGAGCTCCAGGCTCATATTAAGCGAATTTTAGTTTATCAAACATTTTACTAGGACAGATGAAAATGAAACTTCATGAAAAACACTAGTCACTAGAAAGTATCAAGCATTTTCCATTTCTAGGTTCCAAACAAATGACAAGCTGAGCAATGAAAGAAATCAACAAAGTTATAGAAAGCTAAGAACACAGTAAAGTGAGCAGTTTCATTAAGGTTGACTCTAGCTTTCCAGGAAATGAAATTGCCTAAAAGTGAGTTCCACCAATAAGCAGAAAGCTAAAAGCACCAAAGAGAAGAAAGCAAAAAAGCCTAAACTTACGCAGTAGGGACCCTGCGCTTTTCTCACAGTTCATGCCGAAGCCAGAAAAAAAGGTTGCAATAAAAAATTGGGGGAAAAAGAATGAAAACAATTAAAGAATAAGCGATGACGTGAAAACGAATCAGAGAATCATAATCGCAGGAAGCTCGAATATAAACACAATTCAGAAACCCCAATCGTGTTACCGTCTAAGAGTTTTGGAACACTTGAGAAAAATCGTGGGTTTTGAGGGTCGAATTATCACCGGATTTCTCGGAAAACTAATGGCATTTTCGAAAATTCGATACCAAGACGGAGAAAAGTGAGTACCTCAAGTGAATCAAAGGAGCATCGCCGCTAAAAAAAAATCGAATCGTAAGCAAAAGGGAAAAGAAAGAGAGATCTCAGAGAGAAGACGAGTAGCAGATAATTTCGTCGATTGCGATTGTAGAACAACTAGCCTCGCTTCAATTGTGGGTTTGGTTACCCGTAAACAGAAACACCATAATAAAGGTACAGGTGAGAGAGAAAGGAAGAAGAGTATACATACATACTTGTGCTTGTGTGTACGTATTTGTTTATACGTATTTTGTGCCTTCACGGATACAGTTAGGAGAGAGAGTGACGATTTTTCTTTTTTTTCTTTTTTTCTCCTTCTTACAGAGAATAATACTAAAAAAGAAGTCTCTAAAATCTGGAAGAATAATTTTAATATTTTAATATTTTGTAACATTGACTTTGGCAGTTGATGGGAAGGATTTTGTTTTTATTTATTGCATCCAATTGAGATTCACGAGAATACTACTACTACTAGTGTTACAGAGTAATTAGAGAAGTTGTTGATAAAGATGATAAAATGAATAAAGATAATTAGTAACTCTCTCAAGTGTCCCAGTCGCATCTTGGACCTACTAAAATGAAAACTTAACAACCAATTTGCCGAAGATAGTGTTTATACAAATATGTTTGGAAAACTCCAAATCAAAACGATCAGAAAAAGAAATTTCATCTATACACAACCAAACTGACTGACTCTTTAATTTACAAAGTTTAAGTCAGAGAAGATACCAAAACGAGACTTTTAATTTTTCCTTAAAAAGTGTTTGAACTAAGGATATAATTTGATATACAATCCATCTTAAAAACTCAAAATTATACCAAATCTATATTATATTGAAATATTAGAGAACTGGAAAATGTTACCAAAAACCTTCAAAGGAGGTCACAAATACATTGTTGAGTCAAATATAACACAAAGTAAAATATAACTCAAGCAAGTGTTAGTAGTATACTACACGCACAAGAACAGAACAATCAGTTGGTCAGGACAGGAGGTTCAGTTTTGTTAGCTCCACACTCTATTTACAAAACTAGTCAGGACAGGAGGTTCAGTTTTGGTTCTCATCATCGTGTTTTCTCTGTAACTCCTCCAGAAACTTGCGATGCTCCTCCATGACCTGCGACTGCGAATAGTCCCCAACACGGCAATCTCCGTGAAGAATACTCTCCACCTGCATTGATTTGAGCCAGTCCCATAAGTCGAAATCTCCCAATTGCTCGCTTGTCCCTCCCTGAAGCATCATACTCGCTTCTTCTTCCTCGTGAGTCTTCCTCTGTTCAAGGAAACCTGATTCGCAAGCCAGTCGTAAGTGGGGAAAAGCCATTCAGAGACTAAAAACTAATGGTACAAGTTGCTACTTTTAACACTCGCTTCTACCTTGACTTCGCGGTTTGCTCACTTCAACTAATCGCCCAGCAATCCACACACGAGACGCCTGAACAAGTAAGATTCATTTATCAAAATCAATCTAATCACAATGAATGGGGTCCAAAAGTCAAAATCATGTACCTTTATTGCTCTCTTGGCGGCATTTGCTTCCTCAAACTCCACAAAGGCATAGCAATAGTTCTGCCATTTTTATACAACATGAACTGATGGAAACAGCCAACAAGGGTTTCAAAAAATAATAATGCTTGTTAGATGACTCAACACTTACCCAACCAGGGTTTATAATTCGAATTCCCCCATTTTTTATTCGTCCAAACCTCTTAAATGCATCCCTAATCGCCGGAATGTTTCTTCCACCTGGAGGAATACTTCGTACGTGAACTGATGAACACTCCTCAGTCAACGCTGATAAAAAACAAAAACAAATACAAAAAAAGGGTTTTAGATACTTCCACAGGCTGCTTCTTATGATTGAAGAGAGTGTTTTTGATACTCTCTCACCAGCATCATTAACAGAAAGAATGGATGCTTTAGAGTCTTCCCCAGAAACAACTCTTCCATCGTTATCAACAAAGTTGAAGATGTCGGTGAAAACAAAGTAGCTGTTGGGTGCTTCTTGGGGAGCAAGAAAGAAAGTTTGCATGAAGTCCCTTTCACGTCTCATGTTTAAAGTGAAGTAGCCACTGACAATGACCAAGACACCCCCATTTTGAGAGTCTGTTGAAGTGATACATGTTACCTCCGCCGAATCAAAACCTCCAGAAGATAGCATATTAAGATTCTCATGTTTCTCCTGCTCCAAGATTACGAATCAATCAGAAAAAAGAAAGCAAAAACAAAAAAAACAGTCCAGTTTCAGTCAGTCAACAACCAAATGCAATCAAGTCAATGTATAAAAAAGTTTATTACCGAGAAGGTGAAGACGCGCATCATTCCACCCTCTACAGGCCGTGCAATCTGACTGTTATCTTGATAAACCTTATCAAGATGCTGCGGAAACTCACGCAAGAGGCGAAAGTACTGCTTTGCAAATTCATCCCCCACCTACTTTTACACAAAACATTATCAATGAACCACATAAAAGCAAGAATCCCATGGATATATATAAATATGTTTGATTATATACCGCTTTAGCAGGTTGTCGTGCAGGAGGATGTTGAGCTTGATCATCTTGTATCGCCTGCACGTACTTATTATTAATCATCATGATTATTACGTATCAGTTCCAAGTCCAGAGGTTATGTGGAGTGTCTACTTACAGGAGAGGCATCAGATATCTTGGAAACATCTCCAAGTCCATCATTTGGTTCAGAAACTCTCTCTGCAACTGAACCATTAAAAATCAAGGTTCTTAGACACTTGCTCTCGAGCAAAACATGTTGAAGTGAAGTGATTGCGTTTTTGTTACCCACCAGGAGGAAGGCGTCGGTTATGAAATCTGAGAATGTCATTTAGAACAATGTAGACATTCTTCGGCTTTTCCTCTTGTAGATAAAGAATGAAAGTTTGGGTGAAGTAGCTCCTTTCAAGCGTCTCTTTAAAAGTGAAGTAGCCACCGACATCGACCATGACATTCCCATCTTCAGAGTCTTGGGAAACGATACTTGTTACCTCAGCCGAGTCAAAACCTCCAGAAGATAGCACATTAATATTATCACCTATATCCTGCTCCAAGAATTCATAGGAATCAATCAAGAACAAGTCGGATCTCAGTCAAATCAAGATTCAAGACAAGTATATTGTTACCGATAAGGTGGATACACGCATCACTCTATCTTGTCCAATAAGCCTCCCAATATAGCTGGCATCTGTATAAAACCGATGGAGCTCATGCGGGAGACTTTTCGAGATGAGATAGTACTGCTTTGCAAATTCATCCCCCACCTACGCTTTCACAAAACATATATGATACATGACAATAGGAAAAGAAGATCGAGCACCATTGATCACATAGTTTCTTGGATTGGTTATACATACCACTTTAGGATCCATCGATTCAGAGAGTAAGCAACGCCCCTTGAATCTAAAATACCAAATTTCAAATGCCAAATCCTTAAAAAAACTTCCCAACATAATCTACGACGTAACAATACAATTTTCGACGAAAGAGATATCTACTTATTGAGAAAATCAACAAAGAACGCGAAGATTGGCTTGACGTTTCAGTCAGTGCTGAATCATTCACGAAAGAACGCATTTCGAAACCTACCATTATTCGAGATTGCTAAAAGACGACGCACCTGAAATTCTATTGAGAGAGAGAGAGAGAGACGTTTGTTTGTGATAGCGATTTGGGCTCCGAGTTCCACTTCAATGGCGATTCCTTGCGCCAAGGAAGGAGAAGAGTGAGAGACGAAGAAGCAACAAAAATGCGCGGTGAACTTGTGTGATTGGCTTTCGTGTTACACAAGCAAGCAGAGTCCTACTTATGCAGTGTCATAAGGATGCATATTTACATTTGTTGCCACTGGGCACGGGACGTTGTTAGTTAGTAAAATCTGTTATGCTTAAACCGAGTTTGTTATCGGTTTAGTGATTGGACAAGATAGAACTGAGTAAATATGATGATGATCTTGAAGATAGGATGGGTTTTGTATATATAAAAAAAAAAAATTGTTAGAACGGGATACATTGGTTGTTTAGCTGGTAAGTGAATTACTTGAATATATCAGTTGAGGTCTAAAAAATCATTTGGCTACCAAAAAGAAAGTGTGTTATACAAGGAACATTTCTGCATTGATTAAAAAAAAATTCTGATGGTCATAAGATAGTGTTTACACAAATATATTGGTTTAATCAATTTACAAAGTTTAAGTTAAAGAAATGTCAAAACCAAACTTTTTAATTTTTGTTTGAACTAAGGATTATATAATTGACGAAAAAAACTAATTAATAAATCAAAATTATAACAAATCTATTTTGTTACTCCGAAATTCATTAAAAATCCAAAAAGAAGACTGAAACCGGAAACTCTTACAAAAACCAAACAAGAAGACTGGCTTTGAGGATTCACAAGAAAACTAACAACAAGAACACAAACTGCAATATTATACTAACAGCAGTTTTTTTATAAAGATCCAGTCGACGAACCAAAAGATTATTTAGGTTTCTTGAACATCAATGAGGTAAGAGATTCTCTTCTCTCAGAGAGCAACTGAGGAACCGGTCTCACTTAGAAGGCCATAGAAAGTGAAATATTCGGAAGTTTCTTTGAAACCAGGAATCAATTCCGACAAGACCCTCAAAATTGCAGCCAAATGCTGTAGATCATTCGACGCGAAAGCTGCTTCTAGAAACAGCGAGGATCGCACACTCGTCACCTGCATTTTGCACATACCGAAACTAACTAAACCGAAAACCAAATTTATCTAACCAACCCGAAATCAATTAAAAATTCATATTTTGCTAGAATATACTACTGTTTCTTTCTTTGTATTATTATATTTATCGAAAACTGAAATAAAACTTTGTTAGTTTGGTCATATCCCATAGGCTTATGGGGTAATTTGAGTTGTTAAGAGATTATACCTTATGCTTCTGAGCATATCGCAGAGCTTCAAGATAGTAACCATCTTGCACAAGGGAAGAGATGTAGTCATGGTGCAAGGAGAGCTGTCTCAACATATCAAGCCCAAGTTTCCTTACCCGCAGATTTTGGCGACCGCTCTCAAGAAGTTGGAGCGCGACTTCCTTTGATGGTTCGATTATCTGCAGGAAAATGTAATTTAGCCCAAACTCTAAGATCAAGAAACCTTCATAGGAGGTTTTGTGTTCATATCAGAAGAATTAATATAAACCTTGTTTGTGGTGAATAGCGACAGCTCTGCAAATCGTTTACTGTATGCTAAAAGTCTGATGGTCATCACATAGACGTTCAGATCCACTTTGAGTTTTTCTGCACTTATGCTGCGACAAAGGAATCAAAGTAAGAATTGGTGAACTGAAACTAGATCAAAGGCAAAACCAAGTTTCTTTAGCCTGGAAACATAAACAGACCGAACAAATGGTTGATCTTACCTGCGAAGGAACTCGGTGATGATAGCAACTAGGTACTCAGATTCCTCAACCATCAGTTCCTCCACAGAAGCGAACACAAACTTGTAGAGCTCATCGGGTGAAATGGCTGGTGAGGAAAGTTGAGATTCTGGCTGCTCATCAGCACAAAACATGTTCACCTCTGAACCAGATGGTAGGTTCATTTCAACTTCTTCATCAATACTGCTTTCAGATGGCACGTGCCTTTCGTTATCTTCACAAATAGAAAGTCGATTAGAGGACAAACTGTGTTAAGAGATTGCAACTTCTTTAGAACATCCATGCCTATATCAACTTTTTAGATTCAATGGTTGTACCAGGAGATGCACCAACGGCTGGAGTAGCTGCCGTAGTCTGTTCGTTCTTTATTTCCTTGAATGTACCAGCTTTAACAGAGTAAGAATATGCAGTGACCAGTACATCTATTGCCTGAGTAACCTGAGTTGCTGGTCTGCGTTCCAAAATTATATCCTTTGCTATCCCCAAGCACAGTTGTTTGGCCTGAAAAACAACGTACTCATTAATACGCCGAACACTTCCACGTGATCCAACTTTCCTGGAAATAAGCACCAGATTTGCATATAACCTTCTCTAACTACACCAACGTTCTTTCTCAATTGTCTATGTTTGATTACAGAAATGTTTGTTGCCAAAAAGAGGTGCTTCATCATGCTTAGTTAAACCCCTATGTAAAAGACACAGCAAAAGAAAGTTTGGGACCTTGTTTGCTTCCAACTTCCTTCGCTGCAAGAATTCTAGAAGAGACGTCCTGTCTGAGCTGCTAGCGGAAATTGCCTGCAAAACACAATGTCAAACACTGAGCATTTGCGAATTATCTAAGAATTCAATTGTCGTGTAGATAAACCAACAAAAGCCAACTTGCCTCAAGATCCAAATGTACCCTCCACAGAACCTTGTTAGTCTGATCCAGTATAAGGTCTGGAACCAGAAAGGTCCATGCATCTTCATACATGACTATGTTTCCATTGCTTGTAGATGATTCTGAGCTCTCATTTTCTTTAATAGCAGCTTCAGATGATGTGCCAGAGCCTTGGTTACCCCTCCACAGCAAAGGAAGAGGAGCAGACACGGGAGCTCGAGAATCCACAAATAAGTCATATATGATAACAACCTTTGCATCGATTTGGTGCACAAGCAATAAATTGTCAACCACACTCACCGACAATTTGCTTGAGTATATCGGTAAAGAACCCTGTAAACAATAGCCAATGGAATGAATAAATAGAAGAAATTCTCGAGCAAATTGCCCAGAAAGGTAGAAATACAAGATAAGGTTGTTTTGCAAATAACTTGCAACTTTCAAAAAATTAAAAATTTCAAACTCAAGGAGTCATAGAAAAAATCGACTCAAAGAGACACGGTCACGCAGATGCTAGTCAAACAAGTTCAATAAAGATCAGCAAAGTAACCAGACACCAGTAACTGAGGAAAAGCAAACTTACTTGTTGAACGACTGCATCTCGGTAGAACCTGTATGAATGGAGTAGCATTGCCTCCCTGTCTACTTGTAAGCAATATATTCGGCCATAGCTGAAAGAAAATGGTAACGATTTACTTTCCAGCTACGTAGTGTAATGAATGACGAGAAAGTTTAGTAGAAGAAGGGAACAAAAGAAACACATAGACAAATCGTACACAGTGACTAAGTGGACATCTCCAGAGGAGAGAATAGGTTTACTGTTTGATTCAGGCTTAGCCATGGTCATCTCAAACCTTGGTAAACGAACAACTCCTGCGGTAGAAAGCTGAAAAGTAGATCAAATATAAATCAGGCTCTTATCTAAAGCTCGAACCACAGTTTTTTTAAGAAAATATTCTAAATAAATGATAAGTCAATCATAAAAGCTGATTTAAACCTCTAGCATATACATCACAAGGGCCAATACCATCAAACTAACAGGATGTTATAGAAAAACTGAGTTGGAAAAGCCCTTTCACATAGCAAATTTTATAATCCATTGCTTTTTTCTTGGGTTTTGGACAAATGTTTTAGACAATAGCTAATATTTAGTTTAGTTTAGTTGTTGATAAGAATTTTAGAATACCTGAAATCCAGTAATTGTCTTGCATTGCAATCCTGATGCAAGAAGAACCAGTCGAGTTTCATGTGTATAGATGTACCAATTCACATTCACTTTCTTGGTTTCCACCAAACGTAGATTCAACATAGAATCACAAGCAAACAAGTCCATGCCACTGAGACAAAAAAAAAAAAAAAAAAAAAGAACAAGAACAAGAAAAACTTTTCATTAGAGCGTAACAAATGAAAAAGATAAAGAGCCTAAATCATTAGCGAAATGATGAACATGTAAATATTAAGACCGAACAACTATGTTTAGGTCGGACTTTTAAGAACAGAATGTGCAGATTCAGTTACCAGATTCTGAAAAGGCTAATTTCCCTAAAAAATCCCGAGTCAAAGGATATAACTATTCTGAAACACAGGGTAATAATTTTTAACAAGTTATATAGGATTTTCAACATCAACCAATTAGTCTTTAAAATTCGTTGCAAACAATCTCAGCAATGTAAATAGTTCTATGTAGTAAAAATATGCAGAAAATATAGCAAGCCCACCTGGTCTTTACAATAGCAAGATCACATAATGGAGAGTCGCTCCAAAAGAATCCGAGAATGCTCTCTGATCCTGCCTTGCATTTGTGGCTAAGTATCTGCTTGGTCTCTCGATGGAAAAGCTGTATTTCACAGTCAGATCTTTGGACAGCTATCGCTTTCTTATCAAGAGAGAATCTGATAGATAGGATAGGCCCTTCACTTATAGAATCAACTGAAGGTGATACATCTGGATTAAAGGGGGCTGTTTGCCATGAAAAGATCTAAACAGGAAACATAGAGAAATCAGCCCAGGATATGGATCATCATGCTTAACAAAGATATCAATTATGGTTGAAACAACATCAAATAAACGATTTCAAAGGAGAAGAAAAAAAAACACCTGACTAGATGTGGTACAAATTAGCAATCTGTTGGCATCATCATAGAACAACCCCCTGGATTCTGGAATATTGCAACGTAGGGGTGGATTTTGTATATACACATGTGATAAAGCACCAGAGCCGACACTTGACTGTGAACTTGAAATCCTGCTAGACATACATTAATTGTTAAGTTTACTACTACTATATGGTCCGGTCACTTAAAGTTGTATTAAAATCATATCACAGGCAATCACGGAGAATCATTTCACAAGAGATTTAAAAAACGATGAAAGTAAAAAAAAGAATGACGTACATGTTAAGCAATGCTGATAAATGCCTCTTAAGGGGAAGGAGAATATAGTCGTGATTTCAAGCCTTTCCCCGGATCTAAAAGGAAAATTAAAAAAAAGATAGTAGAACAGATTAGTATAAATTGGTGAAGATAAAATGTTTCAAGTCTCTAGCAATAAAACTCGTCATACCGTATGCTGCATACAATTCTTCAGTGCAAGGAACTCTTTCAAGCAAATGTCTCTTTCAACCTCATGGACTTTAGATGCAACACAGCTCCCGTAGTCTTTGGCCTGTGACAAGTGCACATTCTTAGTCAACAACAAGGATCAAATCTTCAAGACACAATCCACAAGTAAGAAAATGTGTTGCTTCACGGTTGACGTGATATCATTTTATTCTCTCCTCCTGACTCATTCTTTACTATTGATAACGTGCTTAACAACTAGCAAAGCTATCAAATATATATTTAGATTAGAGATCAGAGAAAGAAGAAACTCAAAAGGACAACATTTATCACAATCTAAAAGACACAATGATGCAAAAAAACAAGGTAAATGGAGTTAGCCAAGAAACCTGCTTAGAACAAGTGGCTAAAATACGTCCAAGTGTAGAAGCGGTGGCGGATTTCTTTTCTTTCATGCCTGCTGCATTGCTGAAGCTGAAAGCAAAGTTGGAATGGATAAAATAAATATTAGCAGATTCACCAATGAACTGAGACAAAACACACACACACAAATTACGACAGCACCTAAGGTCTTAATGTAAACCCCACATTAATTTCCTACAAGTAGAACGAATCGGACAACAATTTCATCCCCAAGTAGCGAAATAGTATATCTATTAAAGAGAATTACAAGAGATACAAAAATGAAATCGGAGATAAGAACAGAGAAGCGTTACCTGCGAAAACCCAGACGGAGGAGAAGAATCTAAGAACAGCGATGGGTTGCTCCGAAGAGTTAGATTCAAACAGAAACGCAGTAGTTTCGAGTTTGATGCAAACAGTCCTCGGCTTGTCTCCTCGGGAAATTGATGGTTGGTGTTCTTCAGCGACGAGCGATCACCGTGTGAAGAAACAATGAAAGGGATCGACACGTGTGAATATGATTCTGAAATTGGGCCTGTAGGCCCATTATGTATCAGAACTCATGTGGTATAAACAATGAATATACTTGTCATGAAAAGAAAAAGATATTGTATGTTGAGAACTCATATTGTATCAACAATAAGACACATAGACAATGGATTTATTTGTGATTTCTCTTTTTTTTTTTAAAGGCAAAATTTATAATCTTCTGCGTTATGGGGTCAAATGGGTTTTCTTTTAACCATGTATATCGTTTTAATAATCAATATATTTAATTTCTATAAAATATTAAGGATGCAAGACAAATACATTATACTCAAGAACAGCATTTCCAGTCTTAACATCTAATGAATGAGTCTTTCCCTCAGCGAATCCTCTAGCAAATCGAAACGCACCACTGCCTCCAACCACAGGCATTTCCCTTATATCCGAAAACACAAGGTTACGTCCTAAGATACTAATCGTGCTTCCATTATATTCTCCTTCCGTAAACACAAAATGGAGAATCATCAACAGTCCTAATTCCGTTTGAGATGCGGATGCGGTCATACCCTGCGCATAACCTATTCTCTTCGACCTTATATCGGGAAGTATAGTTAGAGGATCATCCATTACGAAAACCGAACCAAAATATGTTTTAGATGTGTTTGTTTGGGCGGCTTCAGCTACCTTCACTGCGGTTGGGTGGCGACCATACATGTCATGGAAGTAAAAGTGAAGATGTGTCAGCTTTTCTTGGTGTAGGCCTAAGGAAGATGGAGATAGGACTTTTGAGAAGGTTTGAGTTTTTACAAAGCATAATAACGTCAAGAAGCAAAGCGATAGGATTGGAATTGCTTTAGGTATAGTGTTGGCCATTGAGAGATGAAACATAATGTATCAAAAAGTTTTCAAGAGTCAATTTTGTAAATGCATGTGTGATTACATCATTTTATATACGAATAATATGGATATTTAGTTTGTAGGCTAATAATATCTTTTTGGGGTTAAGGTTGTTTTTGGTTGATATCTAATGTGATATACACATATAAACATGGTCATTTTAGTTATCAAGAAGCATATGAACTACATAATTGTGGATAGATATTCTATACATACTTGAAAGGAGAAAGATTCTTACTCAAGGAAAACTATATAAACAATTTAAGTAAATTGGTATAATAATCATTTTCTAGGGGAAAATCCTGCATGTTTCATATATGAAATCCGATTTCTTTCCTCATAAACAATTACCTTTTAAACGTTTGCACATAATCTAATAACACGTGCATGGCTATATTAACTATTTTTTTTTGTCTTTCACAAATGCAATTTTCGACACGTACGAGTACAATTACTTTTTTGTGGTTTTCTTCTTATTTGAAACCAAACATTTTTAAAAACGTTTGGGTATGTCATATATATGTGCCATGTGTGCCGTTGTGTTTAACTATATATATACTTTGCATTTTCTTTTCCTTTATTTCTTTTTTTTTTTTTTACCAATTTCTGCATTTTCTTCTACAGCTTAATTTACGTAAAAACTGTTCTACAACTTATTTTGCCATTCGAGCCAAATGAATTTGGCTAACAGTATATTTGCAAACCAACTCATGCTGCATGGTGGAAAGGTTTAGTCTCAATTTAATTTTATTTCATTTAAAAAAAAATTATTTCGAAAGAAGAATACAAACTTTCTGACTCTCTAATTTAAGAGACCAAGATTGAGTATTTCTATTTCATGCAATTTAAATTTAAATCACAGTTCGACGTCATTGTGGACTTTAGTAGCAAAATAATTAGCACTTGCATAAGATTCGATTATTAGTTTACACTTAGATCCAAAAACGTAAAACAAAACAAAAACAATATATTTACATATCCATATCATTTACGATCACTCTGTGGCATGGGTTCCTTGGAACGAGGATCATGGATGAATAAATATATTTGTTGAAAAAACATATGTTATGTTTGCATGGAAATTAATTCCACGTGGTAAAGTTATTGACCAATAGTTTGCTGGAATGAATTAATGAAGTGCTGAAAAGTCAAAGAATGTAGAAATAACATTTTTCTTGTCTGCTATAAACTATACATAATCTAGGATTAGGATATAAACTATGCAAATTAAAATGAATACAATGCTCATTAGCTTTGAAATTCAAAAAATCAACATGTAAAAAAATTCTATAAATAAAGTCAGAACAAAAGAAATCAAACATAGGAAATTAAGTGGCGAAGAGAGAGAGATGAGAGGTGTAATACCAAACTATCACCATTCTTACACTTTCTTCCTTTTCGTTGTCTTGGTTAATCTGTTTAGTCATGTGTTCTCCATCAATAATACTTTGTCGTCAACAGAGTCTCTGACAATCTCAAGCAATCGAACCATTGTGTCGTCCGGTGATGTCTTCGAGCTTGGCTTCTTTAAAACCACAAGGAGCTCCGGAGATGGTGATCGTTGGTATCTCGGGATTTGGTACAAGAAAACTTCTGAGAGAAGCTATGTATGGGTTGCAAACAGAGACAATCCTCTTTCCAGTCCCATTGGAACATTAAGATTCTCTGGTGTTAACCTCGTACTCCTTGATCAGTCCAATACTCTTATCTGGTCAACGAATCTGACGAGAGCTGTGAAATCTCCAGTTGTGGCAAAGCTTCTCGATAACGGCAACTTGGTGCTCAGAGACTCCAAAACCAAAGAACCAGATCGGTTCTTGTGGCAAAGCTTTGATTTTCCGGTGGATACTTTGCTCCCGGAGATGAAAATTGGTTGGGGACTCAGAACAGGGGACAACAGAGTCCTGAAATCTTGGAGAAGCTTATATGATCCGTCAAGCGGAGATTTCTCGTTCAAACTCGAGACTGGAGGGTTACCTGAGTTTTATCTTTATAAGGGAGAATTCAAATTGTTCAGAACCGGTCCGTGGAATGGAATCCGGTTTAGTGGTATACCAAAGATGCAACAAGGGAGATACATTGTTGACGAGTTCATAGAGAAGAGAGAGGAAGTCACCTACACTTTCCGAGCCACAAACCAGAGTTTCCACTCGAGATTTACACGGAGTCCCACTGGGTCATTACAGATGTTCACATGGACTTCGACACTACAGGAGTGGAACATGTTCTGGTCTTTCCCGAGTGAGAAATGCGATTTGTACTCCATCTGTGGTTCTTACAGTTACTGCGACATGAGTACGTCACCGAACTGTAACTGTATCAAAGGCTTTGTACCGAAGAATGTGACGGCGTGGGCTCTGGGAGATGCGTCCGATGGTTGTGTGAGGAGGACGCGACTGAGCTGCGGCAGAGGAGATGTGTTTTTGGCGATGATGAAGATGAAGTTGCCGGTGACCGGTAGAGTGATTGTGGACAGGGGTATTGGGTTGAAGGAATGTAAGGAGAGGTGTCTTGAGGATTGTAACTGTACCGGGTTTGCGAATACGGATATCCGAAATGGTGGGTCGGGTTGTGTGATTTGGACCGATGAGCTCGTGGATATGCGGACCTTCGTTGCAGGAGGTGGTCAAGATCTTTATGTTAAACTAGGACCTGCTTAGCTTTGTACCCTAGAACATGGACCGAACCGTTATATTCCGGGTTTCATATGTAGTTATCCGGATTCGTGATTTTATTTAAAAAAAAAAAATAGTTAAGAAAATAATAAACTCCATGTTGATTGTTGCGTATGTGGAACTTGTGGCACGTATGCATATTTAGTTTGTGTTTGGATTATATGAAATGATGAAACTAACATAGATATTGTAAGGTACAAAATCAAATTTAGCACGAAGGAATATATTATTTTTATTTTATTTGACAAAAAAGAAAATACATTAGTTTATTACTCCAAAGAGACAGGAACACCGATCTGGCTCCCAACTCTTCGAGCACAATCGTTCCATGTCTGTTTGCTTTTTGGAATAGCCTTAGATGCAATATCTTTAAACTCATAAGTCGAAAATATGATTTGAGCCAATCCGAGATGACAATCTTTGTGTAGCTTCAATAGATCAAGACAACATTCATTCGTCAATATCTGCGCCGTCTCATCCATCATGTTTTTGAAAATCTCATCTCCGCATTTAGAGCTCATCTTTTGAAGGCAGTTCTGAAGGAAATCGAGCTGTTTGTACGAGTAACGATGTGCAAGCTCCATGTCATATTCCATTGCAGGTGAATCGGCTTCGATTGGAGCTTCATCGGGAGATTCGAGGTAAAGATCGAAATCCATACTAGGAGATATGCTCACATCTTCTGGTAACTCTTCTGAATACTGATCAATTTCTTGGGAGTGAATTGGACAAGACATGAAAAATATTACTATTGCGGATACAAACATTATCATGAAAAGAGACTTTGCCATATTTGCTTTTTTTTTGGGGGGTTTTTGGATGTTAGATTGGCGAAAAAAAAAGATTTATAGGAAAATGAGCATGGTGACTTGTGGAAGGGTAATTAATTGATTTAAGTTTTCTTTGGTCAAAACTCAAAAGCAATTAAATGATTAAAACGTTTACTCATTAAATTGTTTGACTAGTTTTTTTAATTTATTGTAGCAATTATAGATTTTTAATCATTAAAAGTTTGACTAAGTTTGACTATGTTGAATTGTGGGGAAACTGGAAAACTCAAACAGCATCGCAGCGTTGAGAAGATGATAAGTCTCAATAGAAATCTAAGCTCTCTCTATTACACAAAAGTGCAAAACTAAAGGCTTCTGTATCCGTAGGTTCCAGGCTTATTCGAAATATGACCACAGAAAGGCCGAACAATAATCACTTTGACATGTAGCATAAGTCATCAATTATAAAAATAAACAATCCCAAGTTTCAAGTTTGGAGGTGCTCGATGCTCTCACTCGAATCCATAAACTCCAAGTCAAAAGCTCTGGTCCTTACAGGCTTGCTAAACCAGTGATCAGGGATCACTTGGATGTCAACCTTTTGTAGATGATTGCTTTGCAGATCATAGCAAAGGTAGTAAAAGGGAGAAACCAACCGGAGCGGTACAAAAATAACCTTGCCTTTCAGGATTGTACCTCTTGGCTTCAATCGATTGTCAACGACTAGATGCATCTGACTGGTCTGCAAAACCAGTCTCTTGCTCGACCATTCTTTCTTCTCCCAGTCTTCCACAACCCACAAATCAACGGTACCACTCTCTTTGAGATGAGTGAAATCGAAAACAGTTACTTTCCCACCATACTCTATCTGCGTCATCCACTTGTCTACTCTAGGTAGCACATCTCCGACCCTGCGAGGTACTTGCAACATTTTGAACTCCTCGGACCTGCAGTCGAAACTCACGAGCATACAAGTATGCGAATCAGTCCAAGCCAGATAATATAAAACACCGTTCAGAGTCAGCTCTAGCGCATCGGGAAGATGAGGTTGGATGTCCTCTGCGACCCTTCTCCACGAACCCAAAGCTCTGACCTTACCTTCTGCATATCCTCTGGCTCTGATATTACCGCAATTGTGCAGAGCACTTTGTACTGATCGTTAACAGGGTCGTGGCAGACAAAGTAGCAGATGTTATAAATATCTCCTTCAGCTATGATATTGGATGGTACGGCAGGTAAGATCACAAGTTGTCTGGTACTGGGGTTATAGATCCGTCCCTTATACGACACTGTGAAGCTGATGAAGCCACGGACAACGCGCATGTAGAAACCTCCCATCGCAGGGATGGTCAGATCTTGGTCGAATACTAAGGAAGACGGAGAACAAGTGCTTGGAGCGGATGACAGGAGCAGAGACTTAGAGTAGTCGACACGGTCCATTAAAGACATGTAAACCTTTGAGACGTGGTCCCGGGGATGATGTGAGCATATAGAAACGGTTGCAAAAATAACTGGAGCGGAAGAGAGATGACCAAACCTTTGAGATGCACTTGAATCTCATCACCGACTTCGCAGGTAATCTCGCCAGAATCTCCATCAGGAGATCCAGAGTAATCTCCGGTGCCACCCAACTTTTCGAGTCATGCATCTCTCTTCTTCTCGACCTCCTCTGTTGTACAAGAAGAAAAGACAAACCCATAGTGTGTGTCGCACAACAACACCGTTCAATCCGCACAAACTTTCCCTAGTTCCTACTCAGGCGAAACTTTCTTCGAGTTTCCTCTTCTAACGTAATCGAGCCGAACAGGTTTGGTTCGTAGAGACCGAGAAGACGGAGCAGCTAGGAGGCGATTTAGGGCATTGTGGTAGACAAGCCTTCCATTTTTCTTGTTTTATCTCAACAAATACGGTGTCGTTTTTTGGTTGGATTGTTATATTTTCCTCAATAGACATGGGTTCAAATTTTAACATCGTTTTGGATCGAACACTTTGGACAAACTTGAAAACAAGACTCCCTTTTCCTTGAAATTATTACACGATTACAGGAGAAACAAAAAAGATCAAAGAAATGATGATTCGGTTTAGCAAGATATAATAAACTTTCAAGACATGCCTTCTTAAACCGGGAATGTGAACGTTTGTTATGTAGTCCTAGTTCGTGCATCTAAGTAAAGTGATAATATAGTAGAATAATGGAGGAATGGTAAATTTGTTCGCTGATCATGAGTTTAGAATTTGATTTAGTAGTTTTAAAGACGACGGAGAACTTTCTGGTCATAGGAAACCTTTTCAGTCAACCAACACTGTACCAAAACCTTGACACACATTCAAAAAAAAAACGACTAATCCTTTCATGCTCTACATTGAACATGTATATAATAAGAGAAGGAGATGAGGATTTATCTGTAGTAGCTATGGTCTCTGAGTTGGAGACAGAGGAGAAGCAAACCTCACGCTAGAATGCAGCGAGTCCATCGTCTAAAACAAAATGAAAAAAGCAAAAGTTAGATCGTCATCTTTACCAAGAAACCCAAATGATATGAACTCATACTGAATGATAAAAACAGATACCATCTGAATTAGTTGGATTCTCTCCCCACTTGCAATTGTCATTGGGATTGTCAGATCCATATATAGCTGTGTTTGTTCTTAGAGCGTTTGTTCCCAAGAGCTAAAGGAAAACAAGAGATTAGATCGTTCCACACATTTCACAACCGAAGACTAAAACGAAAAAGTTCGATCAAAATACACAGATGAATCAGAAAATCTCAACAGTTCTGGCCTGGGAACAGAAAATCAGATCTAAGAATACTCATATACGAACTCTCCAGATCTCTCGGAATTTCAAAATCAGAAACTCAGCAAACATCGGAGATGAAGAAAATCACTCTCCAACATTCACCAAATCCATACAAGTCACTCTAAACCCAGATAAATCAACGAAACTTAGACAGAATCTACTCATTTCATACTATTCAGCGATACATGCGAATCTCATAATCCACCTGAAAACTCACAAATCGACGCCTTACCATTAAATCCACGGAAGATCTTGAATCCACCTTTTCCTTTCTTCTTCTGCCCTCCCTTCCTCCCTCCCTTCTTCCTTCCCTTCCTCCCTCCCTTCTTCCCTCGGTTTCCCTTCGCCATTCCCAGAGAATTTTTGAATTTTCGCTTTTTTGAAAAATACTTTCTGTTTTGTTTTCCTTCTCTGAATCACTATATTTATTAGAGGCAACATTCACCTCCAAAACGAGCTCCAAAACGGCAACACTTCGCTTGTGGATCACAAAGTTAAAACAAAAATGGGCCATACTAAATATAAAAAATGGGCCCAACATGTCGGTTTATCAATAGGAAATCAAATGGTAAACCATAGAGTCGGTTTATTCCTTCATACTGTATGTACTGTAACCAATATAATTTGTTTAAACCGACTCTATGGTTTATCATTTGGTTTCTTGGTTTAGCATTTGGTTTTTCCTCAACAAACACGGCGTCGTTTTTGGTTTGATTGTTTTCTTTTTTCACACGTTACATTACATAGACTTTGGATTCAGGTTTTTACATCGTTTAGGAATTAGGATCGAACATTTTGCTTGAACACAAGACTCCCTTTTTCCTTCAAATTATTACAAATATAAGTGATATATATTAAACATAACACGATTACAAGAAGAAAAAAAAAGATCAAAGAAAGCATTGATTCGGTTTTGTCCGGTTTAGCAAGATATAATAAACGTTTAAGCTCTTCCTTTCAAGACATGCCTTCTTAAACCGGGAATGTGAACGTTTGTAATGTAGTCATTCCAGTTTATGCTTCCAACATCAAACCCAAACTCGCTCTTCTCTTCCTCAGACATAATCTCCATTAGCCTCTGCGTATTGCTATTATCAAATCTGCAACAACAAAAAAACAAAAAAAAACAAAAAAAATAAAAGATTCACAAAAATTCGGGTCGGTCTGGTCTTAGAATTAGAGAATGTTGTTCTTTCTTACCTTCCACCGTAGAAAGTGTATGGCTCATAGATAGTGGCAAGGTGTTTGGCTTGCTCAACCGATTTCTTGCAAATGAACTTTAGCTTCTGCAGCATCTTACTATCCGCTGAGCTCATACCATTCATCAAGCCGCTCCGTTCTTGAGCATCCCTCCACAGATGATCCGAGAAATCATCAACCGAATCGAAAAGTTTCATCAGACGCACCATAATAGGCACACCTTTTGAGTCCAGGCACGGAGAAGTTGTGTAGTGGCTATAAAGGAGCTCTGCTAAGTCCTCGAAAACCAGCGGGTTTATCGCCGAAGAAGCGATCTGATACACGTTTATCTCAGGTTCCGGAACCGCTGTTTCCGTCCCGTGTTTTGCTATGGCAGCTAATGTTGCATTCACGACCATATCAGCAGGAACCACATCAAGAACTCCTTTCGGGTCCACTAGAAACCCCGTGAGCTGTCCTTTCCCGTAACACAGAACTATAGGATCCATCATCCTGAACACACGGTTTTGAACAAGAATCAGTCTTGTTATGTATATCAATACATCGCCATCTATATGTATATACACTCACCTGTTTCCTTCCATCCATCCAGGGAAAGGGTCTTTGTAAGTGCTTTCAATGACACTAGGTCTTATGATAACCACAGGTACGTCTCCTCGAGTGCTGTTGATCATCATTTCTCCCATTGCCTTGGTGAAAACGTAAGTGTCTTGCCATCCATATGACCTTGCCCTGTTTCAGTGATTTGCGAGTTTTTATGGTTGCTGCAGATATTTTTAGCAAGAAATCGATGTAGTTAAGCCCAAGGTTTCGAATGAAACCTCTCTAGACCGAGTTCCTTCATCTTCTGAGCCTCCTCCTGATCTTGAGTGCCTTTAGTAGCAGCATCGAGAGCTAGCTTCATCTCTCTATCCACATCTAATGCTTTTCTGTTTCCTTCGAGGAAGTTCTCGGTTGCTATACAGTCTCCCATCGAGAATGGCTTCTCCATGATCCTTCCTTGTCTTTGTCCATTCACATA